TGTCTGTGGCACTCAGCACCACACTGACAGGAAAGCAAGACCTTGTTCACCAATTTCATACATGCAGGGCAGGGCTGTGTTTTGCTGGCACAAGGATGGACAGGTGTTGCGTGCATCCCCGTGTCAGTGTCCCATTGTTGTGTATTGGGATACGTGGCTGCACGTCCATGGAGACACTATGGGGTTTGTTTACTAAAGCTGGAGAGTCCAAAATCAGACTCCCTTCTGCATAGAAACCAATCAGCTTCTAACCTCAGCTTGTTCAATGAAGCTTTGGCAATGAAACCTGGAAGCTGATTGGTTTCTATGCAGAAGGGAGTCTGATTTTGGACTCTCCAGCTTTAGTAAATAAACCCCTATCTGTCCCAATATGACATCCGTGTGGGTGCAGGTGAATGCATATTGGAATACAGTATCTGTGTCCGTGTAATTACATATCCCAGTAGACAATAATGTGATGCTGGCATGGGGAAGCAATACACGGCCCTGCATAGGGAATGTATGTAATTGCCCCATGTAAACGAGGCCTAACAGAGTTTAAAATATGGTAACCTTCTTCCAAGAGGTAGGGATTCGTTAATCTCTAATTAGTGTAATTAGCGAATCATCTTAATTTTAAGACATTGTTTTCATGAGAGAAAAAGAAAACAAATACAAGAAAAATATGCAGAAAAAGATTAAAAAAAAAAAACAGACAATAAGCAACTGCAAAATAAACAGGATTAAATCTGAATAAGCACTCTACAAAGTTCCATTGGCCTTGGTTCTTGCAGAGTCCAAATTGCAGTCCAGTCTGATGTATTATGATCATCGGCTTTCATAAATGACCCATAGCAATCTGAAAGCTGTCGAGCTGCAGATGGGGTCATTTTTTCTGGTCCCTTTAGAGGGCATTTGTATAAATGACACAAACAATCCAAAAGTCTGAGGAGTGTGCTGAGGGGTGTTGAAGTGTTTTATGATAGTTCAGTGGCCACTTCCTCAGTGCCAATTTTTCAAACTGTATCAAAATTTCCAGATGGCCATGTTTTACAGTTCCACGGTCAACATATTGCACAGAATGGAATCATGACATTATAGAGCCCAACCATTTTATACAACAGACAGATACATTGCCTAGGGGAAGCAATGTGACCATTTCATCTGCAAATTAATAGCATTGGCATATTTTCTCTTGAACTGATTGGTATTCTCGTATACATTTGTGTAAACATCTGTTATTTACCTAATTATGAAACAGCATTATACACAAGGTGCACACTGATGTCAACTCCTCTAGGTACCTTTATTTGCCTACAAACGGCATGACAGCATAAAAAGTGCCCCTGCCCAGGTACCGCTCTTCCTTGATGCATTTTAGTACGTTTTTATGGTTTTAATTATAGATGTAGTATTAAAATTAACTCGGGCCGCTCATCTCTATGTTAGTATAGGACCAATCAAGTCTGACAGATGTGTATTCCTCTAAATCCGGTCTTCTGATTTAATCGTTTGTAACTGGCTCATTAACAGGCTCATTAACAGGCTGTGCATGCTGCCACAATGTTTAGGTATTCCTGTGTCTATAGCTGTGTTCTTGTGGGATTATATGAAATTTGTATTGCCAACTCTATCACACAAATAAGCTTTTTAAATCACATTTACCACTTTATATTCCTGTACCCATACATGTTATTTATTATCAATAAAATCAACTTCATTTGACCACTTTCTGTCCTGCCCACAGTACTTTTACTGTGGGCAGCCACCACAGCCCAGTAAATATACGTTGCCTGGCAAATGTGCACTGGTGCGCGCCCCCTAGGGCACACAGTGCTCTGCTCCTGTAAACGAAGCACATGGTCACAATGTAAACAAAACTGTTATGAATTACTTTCATTCATAACAGCTGTCCTTACTCTAGTAATGATGTGATTGGCACACAGCTATCACATGGTACCGGGTCCAATCACAGCACCCTGTACCATGTGATAGCTATGGGCCAATCACAGAAACACTAGAGTATGCACAGCTATTATGAATAAAAGTAATTTATAGCAGTTCAAATGACTGCTATCACAGTGATCATCAATCACAGTGTAAAAAAAAAATCCCTGATCATCCTTCCCCCAGAGTAGTACAGTGTAAAAAAAAATAAAAAAAATAAAAAATTGTAAAAAAAGAAACAGAATTTTAAAAGTTGATTAAAAAAAAATATTTTTTTTTCTATATACTGTCACCAGTCAGTATGCCTGATCACTGCCACACCAGTCATATGATGACACTGCGCTGTTGATAGTATGTAAGTAAAAAATAGTGATAAAAAAAAAAAAACACTTTTTTAAAAAAAAGTCTTCATTTTTTAAAATATTTTTACAATAAAATTATAACTTCCAAAAACTTGGTATGCCTCTTACTAAATACCTTGTGCTATCTACATTCCAAAATGGGTCATTTGGAGGAACTTGTACTGTCCTGGCATTTTAGGGCCTCAAGAAATGAAGTAGAAGCTATAACTTTCACACAAACCAATTAATACACACTCAATTTTTTTTTTTGTTTTTTTTTCAACCAAAGATATGTGGCAGAATACATTTTGACCTAAGGTTATGAAGAAATTTTTTTCAAAATTTACAGGGTTAAAATTCACTATCATAGCTGGGATATTTAGTGGACATACAGTATTTCTACCATGAAATGATATAACATACAAGCGTTATTGGCTGCAAAGGTGAAACCCACAGTGATTGAAGTATGTATGGCCTTAGTGTTTGTGACCAAATCAGCTTTATTAAAAGTGGACACTGTAAGGAAAAAACTGGCATATATTATGAGTCTAGTTTAGGATTACGAGCCGGGAATGTCTAAAAAGATATATATTTATTGACTATTTTTATTCCTTTCCTATAGATGGAGAGGAGCTGAGAAAAGAACTTAAACGGATGCAGGATATTAGCAGCACTTCTATAAGCCGGCTATATACATTTGAAGAAAAAGTTGGGAAGCTGGAATCTGACTTATCAGGGGAAAAAGAACTATGGAGAACCAGATACCAAGAGCTTCTTGAAGAGCAACAAACACTGAAGGAACAGGTAAAACTGTCAGGAATCTAAAGCCATGACATTACTATGCTACAAAACATGAAGATGTTCACTAACATAATTGTCCCACCTTCATTTCTTAAATAACGGATTTACTTTACCAATTCATCTTCTGTTTTTAATAAAAGTAATACCTATTCAATCCCTGATAATCAGCCCTAAATATCTTCCTTTCTTTGTACTCTTTTTGCAGACATATAGCAAAAAACACTTTTTTGGCTGGGCAAAGCTGAGAAAGATTAAAACCTGTCAATTTTTTATGTTAAATAGTCAGTGTCTCTGTTAGGTAAATTCACCTCTTCCCTCCTGCTGACTATTGTCTGAGACAGAAAGTGATCAGAAATCCAGCATTTTACAGTTGACATCAGATTAAGAGGTGAGAGTAAATGTTCCATTTGGGACAACTGTTCTGATAACAAATGGTTCCTTTCACAAGGGCAGTCCGTTCAGGTCCGCCTGTCCGTTCTTCAGGCGGATCTAACCGGACCCTCCTTTCTCCTCTATGGGCAGCCGGATGTAACAGACTTGTGTCCGTTTACATCCAACTGCCCATAGAGATCTGGGCCCTCTCTGAATAAGCGGAGCAGATGTGCACCTGTCATCCGGCAGCACCTCTCAGCTCAGCAGGGAATCAGCAGATATATCCCCTTACTGAGAAAAACTGAACCACTCGTGTGAAAGGGACCCCTAACCATGTAGAGATTTTCTATCTTCCCTGCCTCTCCAGGGCAGTTAATGAAGGGAAATCTCCACAGCAGGACACGGGCTGCATTAAAGCACCACAAAAACCGACAGGGGTTTAAACCCTAGCCTATTCTTTCCAAATAAAAATAAAAAAGTTTTGACTCTTCAAACACTTTAAAAATTGTAGTTGTCGCATGAAATTTAGTAAAGTAAAATTATCTTTTTTTTTTAAATGAACCACACTTTTAGTGCAGTTATCCAACCTATTGTTATAATGAATAATCAAATCATTGTGTGTTCAGCCATCTGAAAACATGCACAGAAAGGCATAATTATAATTTGAACAGTAGTACAATACACATGTTGTTGATATCATGGTATGAGACATAGAAAATGTTCAGCATTAACGCAACTATCGGAGATATTATTGATTGCAAACAGGATGCCATTTTATGAAAATGATGACAAATGAGGTGCAACCTAAAAGTTGTGGGGAAAGAGCAAAGCTATGTTAACTATAATAGGTGCCTAAACCTAGGATGAGTGAGACTGAAAGAATCTCCGAGTGCAAACGTTGCCCTTTTGTGCTGCTGCAGTAAATTTTATAGACCAAAAGGAAGCCAATTAAAGATGTTACATGCACTTTAAAAGTGATACCAACAAAGTGATCAATCTCACGAGATTTTAGTAATGCAATTAAACTACTAAAACTTGCCTATGCAGCCCTAGGCTTTGGCAACAGGGTAAAAGAGATCACATCAAGACTCCAATTATACAAGCTGTGATAACCTTTTTCTTTTGTTTTCCGCTTTTATCCACCTCTTGTCATTTGTGCAGAGCAAGTTTATTATATTTTCTTAAACACAAAGCAATCTTTCCTTTCTCCTTTTTGGCGGTTGAGTCGAAAAATAGTTTGTCATACAAAGCAGGCCATTTGCTGCTCTGCCTCCAGGAGTGCATTCTAGTGTTAGTCTTAGAATGTAGAAGATTTCATTGATTTCTATAACTAAAGTGTAATATTCACCTCCATGAAACAAGGTTTTTTTTTTGCATTTTTAAAAGGGTGCTGAGATATGAATTATATTACAGCACTATAATCCAAGTCCTCTCCCTCTTCTCCCATGATTAAAATGGCCATCCTATCGGTGCATTCATAGCAGAATAGGCCTGCATGTGGCCAATTTCTCCATTAGACAGCGGTGTCTGTATCAGGGGCGGACTGACAACTCATGGGGCCCCTGGGCAATAGGGGATCATGGGGCCCCTGTGTCCTTGCCCAAACTCAAAAAAGCCTATGAAAAAGGTACCAGGGGCATCTCATGGGCCCCCTACTGACCCCCCGGGCCCTCGGGCAGTGCCTGAGTTCCAAATGGTCAGGCCGCCCCTGGTCTGTTTGTACAGTATGTTCATATGAAGTGAGCCAAAGTCATCTTTATGTGACCAGCAATTTTATATAAAGCTAAACCAGTCTAAAATAGATCGTATTTTTGTGTTGATGCCCAAAGTATATATCATCGAATGACTATTCATATGCTTCTGGTATCAAAACAGAAAATTCTTCACTATGGAATTCCTTTTTGCGCCCTGAGCTCCATCAGGCAACGTGGTCACAATGACACACTGCACCATTACTGTAATAGGAAAATAGAGGCAAATGTAAGAAAATGAAGGTGGTTACATCATTTTCTGTCTGACTAACTAGCCATTTCTGTGACTTTACTTGGGTTTAACACTGGAGTATAAGCTGTTAGAAAATTTGCTGTTTAACTTAAAGTGGTTCTAAATCCTAAACATTTTTTAGCTTAATGCATTCCCTGCACTTCAGTCTCTACAAAGTACCTGTACATCCCCAGGTTGAAATGATTATATCAGTATGATGCCTGCAGCTACAGGCATCACCTCAATACATTTTTTTTTTCAGCCAGCGGTGCTGAAAAAAGTAAAAGCAATGTGAGCCGCTATATAGGTGCTGGATCACTTTTACGGGAAGTGGAAGGAGGTCCCCACGCTCTCCCGTCCCAACAGCTGACCATAGAGATGACCAAGGACCAGAATGTCTCCAATCATCTCTATGGTCTCTGAGTGTTTTGTCACTTCCGCTTTCTCCAGCATGTAAACAAGCCATTGCTGACTTGTAAAAGCATCTGATCAAACCAATCTTGGTTTGATCAGATGCTTTTAAAGGCAGAGGAGAGATCTGGGGTCTAAAAGACCCGATATGTCTCAGTTAAGAAAACTTGTCACTGCCCATGCTATCACAAGGGATACTATTCATAAAATCAATAAAAGTAATAAAAAATTCTAAAGAGACAGTGTAAAAATAAAATAAATAAATAATAAAATAATAAAAAATTTTAAAGCACCCCTGTCCCACCATGCTTGCACTCAGAGGCGAACACACGCTTCGGTTCCACATACATATGTAGACGGTAATCACACACCACACGTGAGGTACTGCCACGAACTTTGGAGCAAGAGTAATAATTCTAACACCAGACCTCCTCTAAACTGGTAACCTGTAAAGGCTTTTAAATCATCATCTATGAAGATTTTAAGTACTATAGTTTGTCGCCATTCCACAAGCGTGCGCAATGTTAAAGTGTGACATGTTAAGTATCTATATACTTGGCGTCATTTTTTTTTTATATTTTACCAAACAATTTGGTATTGCATTGTGTTTTTGTGCACTAAAATTCATTAAAGTGTATTTTTTTCCCAAAAAAAATGCATTTGAAAAACCGCTGTGTAAATACTGTGTGACATACAAAACCATTTTATTTTCTAGGGCCTCTGCTTAAAAAATATATAATGTTTGGGGGGTCCTAAGTAATTTTGTAGCAAAAAAAAAATAATGCTGATTTGTACATGTAGGACAGAAGTGTCAGAACAGGTTTGGAGCTGAATTGCTTACGGTAACAAATATTTAGGTATCTGTATCACCTCCTCCTCCCCCTCTTTATGCTTTGCTGAATCATCACTCAATCCAGTACTGTGCCCCTCTGCAGTGGCTCTGTCTTCTCTTCCTACTTTCACAGGCTTTGCTGAGGCAGCTGAAGCCATCAGCTTCCGTTCATCTCAGTTAAATCCTCTGACGAGCAAGTGGGGGGCAGGCCCAATCTGTGCTGTCTGTGTCTATGAAGAGGAGGAGTCAGGAGCACTTATGAGAAGAGGAGGTTTGGGCTGCTCTGTGCAATACTATTGCACAGAGCAGGAAAGTAAAACTTTTTTTTTTTTTTCAAACTCTTTATCATCATTTTAAGCTAAAATCAGGTTTTTTTATCTTTGGATTACCAAGTATAAAATGCATTCTATATATAGTAACTCAGTATAAATCAAACATTAGATTAGTTTGTCATTATTAATACAAGAGTTTTGTAACTAGTAATTAAGGTTAGTAAATTATATTCAGTTGTTGTTTTTTTTTCTTTTTTGTTGTTTTTAACTTTTTTTTGCTTATTTTCCTATGTTTTGACAGTTGAACCTATTTCAGTACTTGTTTTTTGCCTAACTCCAAAATGAGATATAATTCCATGTGTGTGTTTCACAGCAGGAAAAATGCATCTTGACAGAGAATACAAAATGTGAGAATCCAGGGCATCCATCATTTGATACTACTGATGGGATTGTAGAAGCAGGCATAAATGGTGGCGATGTGTTGCGAAGGCGGTTAGGTAAGAACATTCATGTTTCTATTGATTCTGCTTGTTCTTCATGTCGCACTTCAGGGTAAGGAACACAAAACAGACAATGAATGAACAGTGTGTAATAGGAAGATGTTATCTATGGAAATATGTGCAAGGAAGAATGAGGTATATATATATTTAGTTGGCAAGCTGGACAGATAAAATCATCTTTTTTTTGCTTGGGGCAACAGCACACATTCCCTTTACAGAAGCTGTAATACTATATCAGTATTAGATCCAGTAGTACATCCATAAAGATTTCAGGAAAAGTTCATACAAAATATGAGTATGTGAACAGACTAGACTTCAAGAAATGACAGAGAGGAGGAAGTTTTCCTACAGTGTAAAAGAGTCAAATTATGATTCGTTGGTGGATTTTTTTTTTAACAAATTGAAAGATTAGCATCCACAAATGCTTAAAGGATAAGTTCACCTTTTAGAACATGTTACAACTGTATTTAGGGTGTAACATGTAACATGTTCTTGTTCTGCTCCTCATTCCCTCACTGGCCCCCTGCAGTGTGACAGCAGGCAGGGGTTCTTGTCCCCGCACACACAATAAGATTTTCAAAAAGGCCGGTCTATGCAGGGCTCCGGCCCACACAGCTGCTTCATTCATTAATAGGAATCTGTGAAAAAAAAAAAACGACAAGTCCTCTCTGCCACTGCAGCAGATAGGCTTGTAGTTTGAACTGTGGGCGCACTGATCAGCAGGCTCATAGTCCATTCACACTGCCTACACCTCTGAAAATGACATCCCATACAGAGGTATAGGCAACAGAGCTGTAGGCAGTGTGTACAGAAGCCTGACACTACACCTCTGATCCACTGATCGTGGGTGTGATACTTTACAGGCTGCTGTTTTAAAAAAGAATAAAACACATTTTTTTAACCTGCAAAAACATGTCAATTTATTATTTTTCAATTAAAATAGAACTATACTTTTTTTTTCATTTTGGATAGACTAAGGGAGGGCTATAACACCTGTAAGGTTTATTTTTGCCATATTTGTCCCATTGGGGAGATTTACCTTCACTTCCTGTCCCATAGCCAAATAGGATGTTAGTGGAAACCCCTGCAAATTAAGGGAATTTCTTGGGGGCCCCCAGGTCACCAGAACTAGTGCCAACGTTGGAAGATTTCCCCTCTATTACAATTCTGGGGACGACCCAAAATTTGGGATTTTCCTTTACTTTCACTTTCAATGATAATGGTAAACAGGACAAATTTGGATGGTGAATTTCCCTAACAGAGCCACAGACAGCAATTAAAACTGACAGGTGTTCTAATCCACCTCTCCTCTATCCTAAACTAAAATAAAAGTTTTGCCTTTAAGCGATTCTAAAGGTAATTTTTTTTTGTAAAATAACAGACATGCTATACTTACCTGCTGTGTGCAGTGGTTTTGCACAGAGCAGTCTGGATTCTCCTCTTCTTGGGTTTCCCCAGGCTCTCCTGGCTCCTTTTGTCTGTCGGGTGTCCATTCACACAGGGAGCCATGGCTTGGCCCTGCCCCTCTCTCTCCTCATTGGCTGACTGGCTGTGATTGACAGCAGCTGGAGCCAATGGCTCCTGCTTGCTGTCTTAGCCAATGAGGAAGCAGAGACCCAGGACAGCTAGAGGCTCTCATTCACATCACTGGATTGCGATGAGACTCAGGTAAGTATTGAGGGGGCTGGGGGCACTACCACACACAGAAGGTTTTTTACCTTCATGCATAAAATGCCTTTACAACCACTTTAAAGATGAATTTAGCTTTTAAAGTACAACTAAACCGAAGAACAAAAATGTATTATACTGCAGCTTAAGCAGTTCCTAGCTGCATTAGTTATGTTTTTTTTAGCTAAGAACACTTTAGCAAGTGCTGAAAATACCTGCTGTTCTTACAAAAACGCAATGTCCTTGACACTTCTGTCAACCTGAAGCAAAACTAATGCAAACTTTGTTGTGTAAACTACTAATCCCATCACTCCAATGGCGAAATACAGCTGGGGGCAATAGCTTCCTCTACAGGAGGAGTGAGCCTAGGTAATACCATTTATTTAATAAAAAACCATGTTAAGAATAACACTCACATTGCGCAAAGTAAAACAGATCAGTATCACACATAAAGACTTCCGGTCCGCGAGTGTAACCGGGAATGACGTCACTAAGCTCCGCCCCACGCGTTACACCACCAACAATGTGAGTGTTACTCTTAACATGTTTTTTTATATGGTATACAAACTGTTCTCCACCCTGTTGGAGATGCTCGGCAATCACCGGGCGCCAGCTAGTAATCACCGGCCGGACCCGGTGACTGACAGCTGCGGCCGCGTGCGCCTCCTACCCGGAAATGCAAAATCACGTGTATATATACGTGATTTTGTGCATAAGTACCACCCTGTAGCAGTATATCTGCTATAGGGTGGTTGGGAAGTAGATAGAGTAGGTAAGGTTTTAGTTGTTGTCTAAGCCATTGCTGGGGAGAATGCTCCTCACTTCCTGTTCCGGTGGCAATGTTGTCACCCTGGAAGGAAGTGAGGGAAAAATGTCAGCAACTACACAGACAGCAACACAAAGCTGATGGGGTTCTAGTCTTCCCCTGCTCTACTAAAAACCGCGTCTCTGTTGGAGATTTTCCCTCATTTTATGCCCTGGTGAAACAATGGATCTTTTTCTGCATTACCTGCAGTAGGCCATTCCCAATACAATAACATGACCTCTAGTCCTGTCACCTACTGGTGTATTGGAGCTACTACACTCAGTACATCTGAAGCGTCTGGTGACAATATATGGGCTTGTAAGCAGGTGCTTATATGTGTTGTTCTGAGTTAGATCAGTTGTCCAGGCTGCCCACTTGGGAAGAGCTTAAGACAGGTTCTGCATTTTCCTGGGCCTTTGCAGGCTCTGCCTCCACCCTGTACTGCTAATAAGAAGGGGGAGCTTCTGCTCAGGGGTTCTCTGCCTTGGCCTGTTTGGGAAGGAGATGTGAGGCCCAGCCTGAAGTTGTAACCATCGGCATAGCATGTAGCACCCTCTAGGGAAGTTCGCCTAGGCCAGGATTTTCTTCCACATCATGAAGTCTTACCTCGGGGAGGTATGCATTGAGCAGCCTGTAAATAGATAGTTAGGGAACTGTACTGTGCTGTTGGACTTTGGATATTGAATGTGTCCAGTAAAGTTTAATTAACCATTACAAGCCTGGTCTGAAGTTATTGCAAAGGGGAGCATGGTGGTACATGGCGTATCTAGAAGAACACGGCCTGTAAGCACACATGGGAGGTGAAAAGGAAAAAATGCAAAGTCCTCATGAAGGGTTAACTCAGCAAAGAAGTTTCCGGGAAGTGTCTAGTTGCTACGAGTAACCATGAACTGGTGGGAGTATGATAGCAGCCAGACAGTGGAGAGTGGTACCAGGTAGTGGTGACAGGTCCTCCGGTGCTCCATTTCCCTCCGAAGCTGTTGGTGCCCCAAAATCTTTCAGGACCTGCATCGTGGTACAGAGACTCCATGGACCTAGCTGTAGGTATGAGAAAGCAACAGTTAGTTGCACGCATGAGGTCTATGCTTAGTGCACGACAGGACTCCATTTTGTCACTAAGAGTGAGATGGCATAGTAACGTTGGACTGGTGGAGCAGTACACAGGTTCAGCGATGTTTCCCTCTAAATGCTATATTCAGGGAGACGAGTTATGCAACGATGAGGGACAAAGTGTTTCACAGGAGGAAGTTGCATGTTGTACACCTTGTACACAAGGTTGTATGGCTCACTTCTGAGTCGGAGTGCCACCTTACTGTTGAAGCCACATGAACGCAGCCCCGTTCAGTCCCAGGCATTGGTGAGCGAGTACACGAGAAGAGGTACCGCCATATGCAGGACGAGGTTGCCCTACCCACAGGTTTGCTGGTTCTCTGGTCCTGCAAAGCCATATTGTGTTTTTACTAGGAAGTTCCTGGCAGGGGGACAAATAAGAAAAATCTGCAGTTTTCCCACATTGTATATGTCCCAATGTAAATAGAATTGGGGAAACTATTTGAAAACAAAACCTGTAGTTTTTTTTATTGCGGTGCAAACTGTAATTATACCTAAATTACAGAACGGCAAGCTATAACAGCATTCAAATTACTTCAGTAAAACATTTTGTTCTATTGTTATGCTTTTTTTTACAAAGACATCTTTTATTCTGCCCTAAATGAAGTCATTTGATGCCAGTCACCTTTGCTTATGTTTTTATAAATTTTTCTAGACTGCAAAGGCTGCCTTTGTATGCTGTCTTTATCTGTCTACTTCTGTACTATTATCTCTGTATATTAAACAGTATTGTGTGTGAAGGCAGAAAACATTTATATGTATAGAAAACATTACGTGCTTTAGGTGTATAGAATAACTGTTACAATAGGTTAAAGGTAAACTTCAGGGTCTAAAAAAGAGTTATCCATGCAGTGGGTCCCCTTCCCTGCTGCAAGGGTTAACCCCTCATTTTGCCTAAGGGCTGAAGAATAAGGTGATTTGCTTATGTTATTCCTCACTTTCCTGGCCTCAGGCACTCTCCTCTGACATTCCTTTGGCCCTTGGCAGTCTCCCATACAATGCATTGTATGGGATGAGTTCA